AAAAAAAAAACAAAACCAAAAAACATAAACTTAACGCAATCAAAGAAACTTATACCTTTCCTTTTCATTTCTTTTTTTTTTCTTTGGAACATTCCAAGACTTCCTCAAGATTTTAGTAATATAACACCGACCCTCGTCGTAGGGTTGACAATATTTTATTAAAGCCAATTAACAATGCCTTCTCTTCAGAGGTAGGTTCTGTTGTATTTTCCCCATCCTTTAATAATCTACCCTCCTCCATCTTTTCCAATTGTTCTTCCGCAAGTGTAATAAGGTACACACGCAGCTCCACATCATCAATGAGATCAGAAAAACTAAACATATCCGCAATCCCTTTGGGATCAATTACGGTAGTAGCATCACCACATGTCTTTATGTGAAGTAACGCATTTTTTAATGAAAGACGCATAACGGCAGTGTGTAGAGAGGAGTGGGGTGGTGGCATATATAAAATAGTTCGCTGCACATTTAACCACACAGAAGGAGCAATGTAATGACGATTCCGATGAAGTATTTCACACGCTGTTTCAAGAATAAGTCTATTACGACGAATATTGGCAAAAAATGTTGCCCTATCTGTAAAGACGGTTACCATGACTTGATGAAGTACTGGAAGCATAACATCCATAATTTCTTGACTTAACTCTCCATCTAATAAAACCTTTTCTTCTTTTTCTTTGGATTTCTTCTTACCCGAGATCAGTTCCGCCGCTACCCAATGTCTACTCGCAAATCGTAAGAGTGGTGTTAAATAGTGATCCACCGGTGTTCGTGGGATTGGTGTGAGGCTCACACGCAGAACTAAACTCCACATCGTCTGTGCACAGCGACGCATAAATTTTCTCTCCACTTCTTCTTGTGATTTCTCCAAATGTGGACGCGGGGTGCGGGTTGGCACCTTCTCCGAGGCCACTACCGCAGCCACACTTAACATGTGTTTGGCCAATCGTCTAGCCTCCTTCACGGTAGGGAGGAGATGAGAAATATCACGATAAACAGCAGCGGCACGATCCAACATTAATGCCCGCTGTTCCCAAGACATATTTCGTAATGCCGTTGCATCTGTGCAGTGCCGCACTGCCGTAAAGGCGGCCGATAATACTTCAGCATCTACTACATGAAAGTGAATAGATCGTAATAACAAATCATAACAATTCTGTGCACTGTTGATGAAGGGATCGTCTTCTTTTTTACTTGGCGCCGCACGGAAAGCACTAATAACAAGTTCACGCACGGCTGTGGTATACTGTGTATTAGAGGCAAAACCAAGTAATTCCATGATTTGTAATAAAATAGAAATAAGAGACGTTTCGGATTGTAAAGTATGATGACGCAGGAAGGCATCAGAAATTTTCTCAAGTAAATTTCTTAACAAATTAAAAGTCTCTTTTTTATCCACTTTTTCTTTTTCTTTTTCTTTTTCTTTTTCTGTAGATATGGATTCCATCACTTCTAGACTACGAAGTGTTGAGGCAAAGGTGGTAAAGGCGGGTAATAATGCTGTAGTATAATCTTGATCCAGTGAAGGTGATCGTTCTAGTAAATCTAATACATATTCTGCTAATGATATAATAACAGCAAAATATGTTTTATTATCTACTTGATCTTTTCTTCGCACATACCGCAAAAAATCTGAAACTTCACGAATTAAATTAGGACCTGGTTTTTCACGGGCTATAAGAATTTCATTCAATTGCTTTGTTGTTTTTATTAACTCTTCTGGAGTCTGTAATAATGGACAAACTCTTGTAAACATTAAACGTGTATGAACAGCAACTGCAGGTGCAATAGATTCCAATGTATTGACTGCACGTAAACCACCCTCAATTAAACTTTTATGAACTCCATTTTCATCATTCATAGGAGTTTGAGTACAGATAGTTATATCAAGAACAAGATAATGAATTTGTTTTGATTTCATCATCATTAATGTATCTGGTCTTGTAACAATATCAATCCATAATATCAAAGCATTCCGTTTTGTATTACCTCTTAAACCCAAAAGAAATTTTGAAAGCATATTTGCAAAAGGAATTCTAGTATAACTATTCATTTTCTTTAAATCCAACTGCGATATATTTTGTAACCATAATCGTCTTCCAAGTTCATGTAGTTTGGGTTCATTACAAGCTATAAGATAAACAATAAGTACCCAATCATCCTCACGCAGTGGCACATTATTATCATATCTTATCATGGGAAGTGTCTCTATACACTGTAATACCGATTCCACTACAGTTGATGGGAGTAATGTATGGACTTGTTGTTGTTGTTGTTGTTGTTCTTGTATACTTTTATCACTATCCTTCAGATTGACTATGCGTGTTGCCGTGATGTGTCGTAATGTAGATATTAAGAATAGTAATTCAGGTTTTTCAAAGGCTGTCCCTCGTCTTTTATGCATTTCTTTCTGTGATAAAAAATTATTACTTCCGTTTTCACGTAATTGTGCCCCATTTTTAGGCATTACGTTTATAACTCGAAGTAATAAATTATTTGCAAGTGCCTCATCTCGTTCCATTGCAGATGTTACTTCTTTTCTACTACCATTCATCTGAACCGATTTATACGAGAGTCTTCTTATCATTGTCAGTAAGTGTGCAATGGATAAGTTGGTGTTTACACTTACCACGCGAATAACTTCTCGTAAGGCCTCTTCAATTTCATTATCATCCATATAGCGTTCCACAAAGAATGTAGTTAGAATTCTTTCACATATTTGAGATTGTTGTGCAAATATTTCAGATGCGTGAGGACAACGAGAAACGAGTTTCATCATATTTAGCGTATCCTCACGAGTTCGTTCATTCAGTGAAAAACAAGGGATAGATCTCAACAAGACTTGTGCGTGTCTCGCTGTAAACATTGGTTGAGGGTTAACAACGAGGCGAGATAACACCTGTACTAATTTTGAAACGGAGACCATTTATTAAATGTGAAGAATATGTTTGTGTGTATGTGAGCCAGTTTCTCTCTTGATGGATTCAACGTTACTCTACATTTGAGAATACAGTAAATAAATAAAAAAAAAGAAAAGGAAGGCTCGCAAAAAGCAAAAAAAAAAGAGAAAAAAAAAAAAGAAAATGTCCACCAAAGAATTCAGATATATGGATATCAGGAAAAAAAATAATAATCTAAAAAGAAGAGTAAATTGTTGCAGAGAGTAGAATTGTATTTTTATTATTATTTAAATACATTAGCAATAATAATAAAAACAACAACAACAACAATATCTGCATCCTTTTCTTTTCGTTTCATGTATTCTACCAATTTACCTTCACCACCAACTTTCCCTATTGCTACGATAATTAAATCTCAAACAATAACATCGGGAAGCTAACCTCATCAAACCTCTCTTTGATCATATATGTATTTATATTTGGAAGGGAGAAGAAGTAAGGGTCGAGATATCGGAACATATGCACATAAAAATAAATAAATAAAAATATATATTTATAGAAAACAAACAAAGATAAAAAAAAAAAATTAAGAACATCATTATTCTCACACAAATAACAAAATACATGTTAAATAATTCCTTTTCTTCACAAACCCTTGAAGAAGAACTAAAAAGGGTCCCTGTAAAACTAGTATTCGTTACTTTATTGTCTCTTTTTATTTATTCCTTTTTCTCTATTACTTCCGCTTCTCATACACCTCTTTCACTATTAACACCTTTGCTTTCTTTTTATTAATAAAAAATAAAATAAAAATAAAATAATCTCTTGCCTTATTTTCTGTTGTCTCAGATTTGACTATTTGAAGAATTGTGTGACACATAAAAGCATCTTCAATCATGTTCTCATCCAAGTTATTTCCATTAAAAGAACATCATGACATAAAAATAAGGATCAAAAAAAAAAAAAAAAAAAAAAAAAAAAAAAAAAAAAAAAAAAAAACAATGACAACATAATCCATAATAAAAATTAGACAATCTTTTTCTTTGTAAAGTAACGTTCAAGATACTTCTCTGCCCATACATTTAGTCCTATAGCGAGAGCCACGTTAAGAATGAGCATTCCCACTACACGATAGTATGTTGCCTGTGTTACTTCATCTAGCATATGCAGACGATTTTCACTCATTCGCACCTCATCCAAAGTCACCTGAACACATATATCCAACATATTGAGTCTATCCTTGTAGTCCTCCACCCCCACGGGTTTATCCACCACCTCTGTTCCCTCCACTGTTGTTGCCGGCTCCATCAAGTCCCTCTCTCCCACAAACCGCATCTCAAACCGCAGCGTTGGGTGACTCAGCGGGGTGCGCATGCAGAGTCTGTAGGTGCCCGTCTCCGTCACCTTGAAGAAGATGGAGGCGGGGTGCCCAAAGGGATCAATGCGCTCGCCGTGCAGCAACTCCGCCCCGCTCGGGCCGTAGAGCCGCGTGCGGACGTGGACGTTGCGGGGGTCGAGGGCGCGGTGGCGGATGTCGACCGTCGGCGGGTCCTCCTCCGGGTCGCGGTGGCCCTCGTACGTCACGCAGAGCTCCTTGCCGGGCAGCAGCTTCAAATACACCGCAGACCCCGACACACCATTCACCACCACCAGCAGCATCCATAATAATAACAATAACGAAGGAAGGGGGAGAGGAGGGTGAAAAGGGGACCTTCTCTTTATACAGGACATGGGGTTGTAATATATAAAGAAAAGACCGACGAGGAGAGGGGAAAAAGGGGGTGAAAATAAAATGGGAGTCTTCTTTTTTTTTTTTTCTTCTTATTATGATGATAATGATAATATATATTTGTTTTTCTTTTTCCTATTACGTTCTTGAGTAATGTCTCTGCTTACTCCCTTGTTGCTATGTATAGGAAATAGTGAGAGTAGTAAAAAAAAAAAGAAAAAAAGAAAAACAAATAACATTATATAAAATACAGAAGAAACACTCTTGATATTCATATGTTCCAAATGAACGGCTGTAACAACACTTGAAAAAGGAAGAAAAAGATGTACGAACACCATCTCACGTATCAATCTCTTAACTCCTCCCGTCGTTTCTTTTTTTTTTTTTTTTTTAATTTATCTTTGCCAACAGTCTTTTCTACAGATTATAAATACACAAAGATATTCGTTTATTTTCGTTTCTTTTCGGTTTTTTTTTTTGTTGTTGTTGTCGTTGTTGAGTTCTGTTTTATTTCTTTTCTTTTTGCTTTTTCTTCTTTTTTTTTCCTTTACCTTTTTAGCCATGTCATTCCGTCCTTTTTAAAGAATTAATATCACAGCTATCAGTAAAAAAAAAAAAAAAAAAAAAAAAAAAAACGTTAATAAAAAAACGTTATCATTATTTTTCCGTTTTTTTTTTTGTTCATTCTTTTTTCTTCTTGTTATGCTTTTTTTTTTTACTTTCGCCTTTTATATTTCCCTATAGAGCCACTATGATGATTCACCACCACTTTGCCAGTACTTTTGTCACTTGACTTAAAGTGGAGTTCCCCTGTTGCTCACGAGCCCGCTGCTGCTGTACACGTGCTGACAATGTGTCATTTCCACTGTTACTACCAACACCACCACCACCACCACCCCGCAACACCAATGCGGTTTGGTAAATACTATTGGTAAGACTTTCAAAGTATGTTGGTTGTCGCTTCTGTGGTCCACTATCGTAATAACTACGTGTATTATTATTATTACTGTTGTTATTATTGGCGTTGAGGGAACTGGTATCTCCACCAAAGACGTCTTGACCAACCACTTCATCACGCACCACAATAGATTCGAAACCCGCGTCTGAGAGTACTTGCTGTACTGCTCGGGTATCACAAGTTATAAATAGTCGTGCTTGACGGTTTTCAAGAAAAACAGAGTACGATACCACACCACGTGTGGTTTGAAAAATATCTTCAATGGTTGCGAGATCATCCCCGCTTTGTGGATCCAAGGCAGGAATATCGAGAATAACGGTGTGAATAACATCAGAACCAACACCGCGAAGAACACGGGCCGCACGAGCCCGTCTCGCCATTGTGAAGCTGTCATTCATAGTACTCTCGTTAAGACTACTACCATCACCACCACCTCCTCCACCTCCACTGCCACTACTACCCACCACTGCAGTAGATGTAGTCTCTTTTCTAGGATCTCGACCTAATAAAACGGGTTCTAAACAGTTAAGAAGTTCATTCGACAAGTCATGAAGTTCGGGGTCATCGTATTCAGTGTCCTTGTACACTTTAAAAACTTCTTTAACAAGTCCATTCTGCTCGGCTAGTAATTCTACATTCTCTGGGTGTTGTGCCAGCAAGTGCAGTGCCGCAAGAGCATACTGCCTTGTTTCTCTATCTTTGCTGCCCACAAAACGAACCAGTGATGGTAGAGTATTGCGACGTGCAATTACCGGGCGGTTATCATAGTTTTTGCTCAACATGTGAAACCGCTTCACAAGAGCAAGTTCCGTGTTAAGTGATGCCATGGCTCAGCAAGTATGAATGTATTGTATGTTTATACCTTTTAATAGACTAATATATATATATATATTTATTTATATATTATAATTATTGGTAACTTTTTCTTTTTTTACACCGTCTTTAACGAGAAGTCTGATAGAAAACCACCACCCTTGCTCTATCACAGACTCACTGTAGACCCAACGTGAACTCCACTGGAGCAACCACCTTCTTGAGCAGAGAAGAAAAAGAAAAAAAGAAGTATAAATATATATATTTATATATCGTAGCCAACAAGAGAATTAAATCATTAGCAACATTTAGACAACAATCGATTACCAGACCAGGATAAGATTTTCTTAACACACACACACATATATATATAAACACTGAGAAATATCAATGACAAAATTACTAGTCGTGAGCCATAAACGGTCCCCCCAAAATGGTGTAAAGCCAGTAGTAGCTTTACAATGACGCTATAGACATGCAAAACAATAATAACAAAGCATCATTTTTATTTTCTTGTCATCTCTACCTCAGAAGCAAAGTTCTTTTAAATTTCTTTTCTCTTTTTCTTTCTTTCCTCTTTTCTACATTGGAAAAGTGGAAAATTCCTGTAAACTCAGCAATGTCACGAAGCAAAAAAAAAAAAAAAATAATTACAATAGAGGAGAGACAAAAAAAAAAAGTAATGAGATCCATAGAGAGTGAACGTCGATCATCGTACGCACATTTCCCTTTTATTCTTTTCTTCTTCACCTTACTTTTTTTTTGTTTTGTTTTTAAACCAAATATCCCTCCCCCTTCTTCTCTAAATAGACACATAAACAAACTACCAAAGAGACATCTCTACTGCAAAGCGTCGATATTGCTATTGCTATTGTTATTTTTATTGCTGTTTTTTATTATTATTATTATTATTATTATTATTATTATTATTATTATTATTTTACTTTTTATTTATTTATAAATGAATGTATGGAATCAAACACCCTCGGCCGGTTTTGTCTCAATTGCATATCCGCCACGCTTATCCCGCACGACATGCGAGACAAACTGCTCGGGCACCGGCCGCTCGACGAGATCGGCGTCACTCTTGTCGGACTCCGGCACGCTGACATTCACGGCGGTGCTACAGGCAGTGACGATGGAGGTCTCTAGGGCCGCACTGCGGTCCAGCAGACACAACGTGACGGATGTGCTCTTCTCCACCGCAGCGGTGGGCACCGCACGGCGTACACGCACTTCAATATCATTACTCTTAAGAACCTCCAGTGATGCCACAACACTGTCAAGCACAACATGTACACGGCTACAGGCCACAAGTGAGACAGAATTCACCTTTCCTGTAATCTCCACCATAACATACTCGCAATTGTGGATCTGCACAGCATGTCGCATGTTTACCTTGTCGAGAGTGATACGTTTGGGTTCATTACTGGTACCCTTCTGGTGCTTTACCGCCCATCGTTTATCACCCTCCAACTGTAGTACAGGTGCCTCAACTTCTGCAGACTTAGCGGGTTGTTGTTGTTGGCGTCGTGCTTCTGCCTCTGCCTTCTTGGCATCAAGTTTAGAGAAGTCCAATTCACCGTGGCGGACATTCTGTTTATATGTCTTTTGGTCATCCGTCACGTGGCGCAGGCGTGCGGTGATATTATCGCCAGCGCCTTGAATCTCCGCAAAGAGTGCAGATGCCGCACCACCAACGGTGTTGGATCCATCGGTGTTATTTGTTGGTTTTGGCGGTGGAGGTGGTGGCGGCGGCGGGGGCATTTTGTTTGGTCCGTTCGGTTTGTTGGATTTCGTTTCAGCTGTGGAGTGACTGGCACTGCAGCACGCAAACATACCGAGTTAATAGGAGTTACACAGAGAAAACAGAGACACACACACACAAGGAGGGTTAAATAGATACACACACACACACAAATTGGGAAGAACAAAAGGGAACAAAAAAAAAAATAGGAACAGTGGTAGTAATAATAATACAAATAAAATAAAACAAATACTGATGGAAACCAATTAAATTAAAGAAAGCGCTGAAGCGTACAACTGTAATAGAGAGAGAAAAATGGAGAGTTTGGTAGCCTCCAGAAGGTAAACATAAGGGGGGGGGGTGGAAAACAAGAAGAAAGAAGAAGAGAACAAAGAAGAATAAGTAGTAGAAGAAGAAGTAAATTGTCTGCACACACCAGGAAGTTAAACTTTAACAAGTAGCAAAAAAAAAAA